TAAAATATTGTAAGGCAAAATAAATGAAAGAAAATAAAACTTTTCTACCATTAACCGTGACCCATATGCATCTACCAGAAGAATTTGAAATTGCAATTGCTTCTAAAAATCCTCTTAAGTCGTGACACATTGAGCTTCCATGTGTTTCATTCAAAGGAAAATAGAAATGGAAATCGGTTCCCTCTTCCAGCAACGTGTCTTTCCAACATCCATCTCCACTTCATTCTCCAAGGAAATCAAATGCTTTCTAACCCAATCACCGTACTCCTACCTTATGAATTAACACTTCTTTTCTTTTTCCTAAATTAAAAGTACTTGATATTTTGCTCTCCACATAAGCAACGTGCACACCCTTCAACCATGGGATTCGTGCCTCTCCATTTTTCTCCAAAGCAATTGTATAAAATTCCTTTTCTCAAAGTCTACCATCGTACACCTGCTACTTGTGCCCTCCAAATGCTAGAATTGATGTGACCACTCCTCACTCCAACCTAATCTACTTCTTCATTTCTCAAAGAAAAGACATCTCCAAAGCATTTAATCACAATATGAAAATGGCATAACTTTTCTCATTCCAGCAGTGCTTCCAGGTCACATTCCCGTGCACACCATTCTCTCCTTGTCGGTGGCTGCTCCAACACATCCCAGCTCTCTCCCCAACGCTGCTTCGCTTCTTGCAATCCGTGTAGCACCTAATGTTGGACGTGAGTTTTGTGATGTGTTGTTGCTTTCCAACACACGTACAGGCCGAGACACCACTTCACTTCTTCCAGCTCAACGCGCACACGCTGTTGCTCTCCATCCAAGACGTCCCCGTGAGCTGCTGCTAGACTGCTTCACTAAAAGCCAAAAGCTGAATTGCTTTTCTCCAAATAAACAAATGGACAGCTCTTCATTCTTCCTTTAAACCAAATTAAACATTCTCTTCTAAAACAAAATCATCTTCACATCTTCTTCACGTGCTTGTTGCTATCATTCTCCCAAGTAGAAAAGAAATGAGCTTCTACTTTAATTCTCAAACCGTGCGCTGAAAATACGAAATAGAAAAGCCAAAAATGTAAGCGTGCTCTCTTTTCATCATTCAAGAACCACGTTTTTTTTTAAAAACCAAGAGTCGAATCCCAGAGTAATTCCGTGGGGGGTGGCGGCTGCCCTAAAGGCTGTGTGTCACCTTTTAATAAGGGTGGGGTCCACACAAAAACCCTAAGGTGCCAAAGTCATTTTTTTCCTTCACATTTTGGGTCTAATCTACTTTACCAAAAATTGTCCCAAAATGTAAAAGTTGACACAGAAATTCTAAACTACTGAATTACAATTTAATTAATTCTAAAATGTCTATGTGGAGAGTCTTGAATTAATTTGCATTCTTCCTGATGTCCCAAAATGTATCTCCAAAAGTTTCCCTGCAATCAATAATGAACATAATAAGCTCAGTTAATTCAAATTAATTAAAATAAGAATTTCTGGTCAAATTAAGCACAATTAGCAAAAATGGAAAAATATCGGACATTTAAACACAATTTCCTAATTAATTCTAGTACAATAAACTAGGTGAAGTCAAGAAAATATTGACTCATCAATTACCGACAGAACAGGCCGTCAGTAATTATCGAAGGTCAACATTCGTCGATAATCATTACCGACAAGTGTATTTACCAACGAAAAAGTGGTCGTCAATAATCCATCGAAAATGCAGTATTATCAACGAATTTTGGTTATTCCTAACGGATTATGTTCATCGGTAATCCTAGTTTTTTTGTACTAGGTGTCATGTGATGGTTCTTTTTATGATTGATATGAGAATTTTAGTGTGGTTGTTACATTTTTATTGATCATAATTTCATCATATGGACATTGAGATGATGTGGTTACACATGTAATTTGAAGGATGCAAAGGGAAGAATGAGAACTGGGTGAAATTTATGTTTATAAGAGATTTTGTTCCTCAAGGAAAGGTATACATATTTTAGTTGTTATTAATGTTATGCATTGAGTAATGACTTTCTTTGGAAGCTATCTTTATACTTTATTAGACTCATTAACTCTTGTAGAAGAAGGAGTCTAGGTAGTGAAGAAGGAATAAGGTTCTTATAGTTGGTCTTGGGGTCGTGGATCCAATTTCTTTTAGGTTATAAGTAATTTANAGACTGCGCCTGGTTTATCTGAGTAGCCATCTGACCCATCTGGTTAGTGAGACTCTGTATGAAAGCTCTAGTCTCCTGCTAAAATTGCATGTTATCTTTTTGAAACTGCAAGTTTTGCATAGTCATCTGTCTCACTAACTCTTCCAATGAAGGTTCAGACGAAGTAGAAGGGTGGGCAGCTGGTTGGGCAGGTGCCTCTTGCTGCTGCTGTTGTTGTTGCCTCTGGTGTTGTTGCATAGGTGAAGGCACATATCTGTTAGGTGCTCCAGCATTCTAGAAAGGTGGCGCCTGCTGCTGATGTTGTGGCGCATTGTTCCATGTAAGATTGGGGTGATTCCTCCACCCTGGGTTGTACCTGTTGCTGGATAAGTCATGATTTTGATGTTGTGGTTGCCTGTTGTTGTAGATGTTTGTAGCATAAGCCTGAGGCGCATCAGAGGCAGCAGGGTGCTGCAAAGAAGGACATGCATCTGTATAGTGGTCACTAGAAGGACAAATAGCACATAGTCGTGCAACAGATGCAGATGGAGCTTTAGATCTCTGGTTGGTAGTCAACTGTGTCACCAACTTCGCAAGAGAGTCAATCTTGCCTTCCAACTTGCTATCAACAGCTGATAAAGACTGGGCAACAACATCATGTACGTCCCTCACCACAATGACATCATTCTTGGTGCTAAACTGCTGGGAGTTGGAGGCCATCTTCTCAATCAATTGCCTGGCCTTAGCAGGTGTGGTATCTCCAAGAGCTCCACCACTGGTAGCATCAATCATACCCCGATCCATGTTGTTCAAACCCTCATAGAAATACTGGATAAGGAGTTGTTCAGGTATCTGATGGTGGGGACAGCTAGCACAAAGTGTCTTGAATCTCTCCCAATACTCATACAAGCTCTCTCCACCAAGCTGCCTAATCCCAGTTATGTATTTTCTGATAGCTGTGGTCCAGGATGCTGGGAAAAATTTCTCCAAGAACAACCTCTTCAGATCATCCCAGCTAGTGACGGATCTAGACGCCAAACCATACAACCAATCCTTAGCAACACTTTCCAATGAATGAGGGAATGCCTTCAAGAAGATGTGCTCTTCAGGAACATCATGCGGTTTCATAGTGGAACAGACAATGTGGAATTCCTTCAAATGCTTATGTGGACTCTCACCTGCAAGACCATAAAACTTGGGCAACAAATGGATTAGTCCAGTCTTGAGAACAAATGGAACGTCCTCATTAGGATATTGGATGCAGAAGCTTTCAATATCGAAATCAGGTGCACCCATCTCCCAGAAAGTCCTCTCACGAGGTGGAGGTTGTGCCATATTGTTCTCAGTGTGAATAACAACAGAATCAGAATCAAGTGCAGATGCAACAGATGCAGTAGATGCAGTATGCACAAAGTACTCAGCAGTGGGATGCACAGTATCTAATGGAACAGACTCAAAAACAGACTCTAAAGACAAATTCCTAGAATTCCTAATTAACCTATGAAACGTCATATCAATCTCAGGATCAAAGGGTGGTATGAATCCAAGATTTCCTCTAGTCATGCACTAAATCACAACACCCTATAATCATGAAACAATAGCACAAAAAATTCAAACCACAGAAATCAACACAAGATAGCAAAACGACACTATCACAAACACAACACAACACAAATCACACAACACAGACACAAGACTCAAAACTGAACCGTTGGTCCCCGGCAGCGGCACCAAAATTTGATGCGGGCTGTCGCGACCCATCAAATTTGATGTGCATTAAATAATGCAGTATACTGCTAGGAAGTGACTCCTAGGTCGTCTCTCAAGGACCAAATGTGTTTCCGTCAATAGGTCAAACACGTAGTGGGGGGGCGAAAGTTTTGAAAGTGTTTTTGTGAATGCAAATGAAGAAATTAAAATGAAAATTAAACACAACTGAATAAAATTGAAGGCATTAAAGTGCATGAAAACATTAAACTGAACACTGCAACATATAAATATCCAAACACAATTCAAACTGTAAAAAAAATGCACGCTTAAACTAAAACATTAAATGCCCAATGTTGTCATCTATCCCACATATTCACCACAAAAAGAAGAAAAGCATTTAAACCCATAATGTAAAATATTGTAAGGCAAAATAAATGAAAGAAAATAAAACTTTTCTACCATTAACCGTGACCCATATGCATCTACCAGAAGAATTTGAAATTGCAATTGCTTCTAAAAATCCTCTTAAGTCGTGACACATTGAGCTTCCATGTGTTTCATTCAAAGGAAAATAGAAATGGAAATCGGTTCCCTCTTCCAGCAACGTGTCTTTCCAACATCCATCTCCACTTCATTCTCCAAGGAAATCAAATGCTTTCTAACCCAATCACCGTACTCCTACCTTATGAATTAACACTTCTTTTCTTTTTCCTAAATTAAAAGTACTTGATATTGTGCTCTCCACATAAGCAACGTGCACACCCTTCAACCATGGGATTCGTGCCTCTCCATTATTCTCCAAAGCAATTGAATAAAATTCCTTTTCTCAAAGGCTACCACCGTACACCTGCTACTTGTGCCCTCCAAATGCTAGAATTGATGTGACCACTCCTCACTCCAACCTAATCTACTTCTTCATTTCTCAAAGAAAAGACATCTCCAAAGCATTTAATCACAATATGAAAATGGCATAACTTTTCTCATTCCAGCAGTGCTTCCAGGTCACATTCCCGTGCACACCATTCTCTCCTTGTCGGTGGCTGCTCCAACACATCCCAGCTCTCTCCCCAACGCTGCTTCGCTTCTTGCAATCCGTGTAGCACCTAATGTTGGACGTGAGTTTTGTGATGTGTTGTTGCTTTCCAACACACGTACAGGCCGAGACACCACTTCACTTCTTCCAGCTCAACGCGCACACGCTGTTGCTCTCCATCCAAGACGTCCCCGTGAGCTGCTGCTAGACTGCTTCACTAAAAGCCAAAAGCTGAATTGCTTTTCTCCAAATAAACAAATGGACAGCTCTTCATTCTTCCTTTAAACCAAAGTAAACATTCTCTTCTAAAACAAAATCAGCTTCACATCTTCTTCACGTGCTTGTTGCTATCATTCTCCCAAGTAGAAAAGAAATGAGCTTCTACTTTAATTCTCAAACCGTGCGCTGAAAATACGAAATAGAAAAGCCAAAAATGTAAGCGTGCTCTCTTTTCATCATTCAAGAACCACGTTTTTTTTTAAAAACCAAGAGTCGAATCCCAGAGTAATTCCGTGGGGGGTGGCGGCTGCCCTAAAGGCTGTGTGTCACCTTTTAATAAGGGTGGGGTCCACACAAAAACCCTAAGGTGCCAAGTCATCTATCTCCACTTTTGGGTCTAGTCTACTTTACCAAAAATTGATCCAAAATATGAGAGTTGATTCAAAAATTCTAAACTACTGAATTACAATTTAATTAATTCTAAAATGTCTATGTGGAGAGTCTTGAATTAATTTGCATTCTTCCTGATGTCCCAAAATGTATCTCCAAAAGTTTCCCTGCAATCAATAATGAACATAATAAGCTCAGGTAATTCAAATTAATTAAAATAAGAATTTCTGGTCAAATTAAGCACAATTAGCAAAAATGGAAAAATATCGGACATTTAAACACAATTTCCTAATTAATTCTAGTACAATAAACTAGGTGAAGTCAAGAAAATATTGACTCATCAATTACCGACAGAACAGGCCGTCAGTAATTATCGAAGGTCAACATTCGTCGATAATCATTACCGACAAGTGTATTTACCAACGAAAAAGTGGTCGTCAATAATCCATCGAAAATGCAGTATTATCAACGAATTTTGGTTATTCCTAACGGATTATGTTCATCGGTAATCCTAGTTTTTTTGTACTAGGTGTCATGTGATGGTTCTTTTTATGATTGATATGAGAATTTTAGTGTGGTTGTTACATTTTTATTGATCATAATTTCATCATATGGACATTGAGATGATGTGGTTACACATGTAATTTGAAGGATGCAAAGGGAAGAATGAGAACTGGGTGAAATTTATGTTTATAAGAGATTTTGTTCCTCAAGGAAAGGTATACATATTTTAGTTGTTATTAATGTTATGCATTGAGTAATGACTTTCTTTGGAAGCTATCTTTATACTTTATTAGACTCATTAACTCTTGTAGAAGAAGGAGTCTAGGTAGTGAAGAAGGAATAAGGTTCTTATAGTTGGTCTTGGGGTCGTGGATCCAATTTCTTTTAGGTTATAAGTAATTTAATTTTTCATGAGAGGGAGAACTAGGTATCACTAGTTGAAACGTAACATTAAGAATTTCATTTTATAAGACAAAACAAAGCTTCTAGAGTCTGAGTAGATGCATAAATTCGAATAATCGAGTATAGATTATATGTTTGAGAATTGTTTTATGATAGATAAAGTGTTACTTGCTATCTTGATTTTATTTTCTTTTTATATAATAATTGTATATGTATCTAAGTTATCATTATCTTACCTTCTTTTGTTTTTTGGTTATGTATATTTTACAATGATTACTTTTGTGGCATGAGTAGATGAGAGTGCAAGTGGTGTTAGTAGGTTGAGGGTGGTGTTTTGAAAATCATTTAAGGATATATACACAGTTATATGATATGATGTGGTGTAATAAAATGGTCTTGTATGGTATTTTGAAAGATTTTAGTATCCTAATGTATTTTGAGAAATAAATAAGAACTATATATATTACAATGTATTGTATGACTGTGTATATTTTCTTTTAAGTGTTATGACCAGATACTACTTAATATTCCATTATAGGAACTCAAGAAAATAAATCTATTTTCAGTTTTTGTTACATATTTCCTTACGTTGTTACACATGTAATATGCGAATGTGTTTTCATTAATGATATACAATTCAAATTATAATTAATTTCAAAACACTTAATATATCACTACACCATTTTATAGTTTGGACCACAGCTGGAAAGTGTTGCCCAAAGTAAAGAAAATTTGGCCTTAAGGCAACAATTTGATAATGATTCTCAAATCGTGGAATTAGTAGTCGTGGCCAACTGCATCTGGAATAATCATCAATAAAAGTAACAAAATATTGAAAACCTAAATTAGACTTAACACGACTAAGTCCCTAAATGTCAGAATGGACTAAGACAAAAGGAGACAAAGCATGTTGTGATACACTACGAGAAAAGGAACTATAATATGTTTTTCTAATTGACACGAGTCACATACCAAATTGGACAACTTGGATAAACTAGGAACAAGCTCTTGCAATTTGGCCAGACTGAGATGACTTAACTGAACATGAAGAAGAGATGAAAACTCTATAACTATGCCAACATGTTTAGAGGGGCGAAGATGATAAAAATCATGGGACTCACATCCGGTTCCAATCACCTGTCTCGAACTCAAGTCCTGTAAATAAACAAAATCTTTGTTAAAAGAAATATCATAATCAATAGAATGCGTTAGACAACTAATGGGTATTAAGTTAAAAGGAGACCTAGAGATATAAAGAACATTATCAATGGATAAAAAAGAAAAAATGCTAACAATCTCAACACCATGAACTAAAACTCTAGATCCATCAACTATTTTAATAGAAGGTAAAGGATTCAGAGAGGACAAAGAGGAAAACAAAGATTTTTTTACCACTATTGTGATATGTGGCTCTTGAGTCAAGAACCCAAGAGCTAAGAGAAGAAGATGGACTTAGACCAACGATAGATGTACCTATGTGTGCTACAGATGTAGTGGAACTAGAAGTTTATTGATCCTTATACCATTTGAGAAATCTTACAAAAAATAACAAGGTCATCGATAATATTGGATGAAGGAGGATTCCTAGTAGGTGATTGTGAGGGAGGAGTAGTCTGAACAATAGCAGCATATTTAGAAGGGTGACCATGTAATGTATAGCACTTGTCAATCGTGTGGCTTAGCTTGCCACAATGATTACACTTGAGACGTCCTTTTCATGATTTACGAGAGTAATTACGATTATGACATTGAGATGCCAACATAAAAGAAACATGTGTATCATTGATGGGTTTACTAGGTATACACAAAAGAGTGGAACAACTAGAAGTCAAAGTGGGAACAACAAGTGAACACAAAATCTGATCACGAATATGAGAATACTTATCAGCAAGGTCGTGCAATGCTTGTAGCATGAAGAACTTTGATCGCTGCTCTATTTCTTAGGCAAGAGTAGAGGCAGGAGACAATAATTCATTAAATTCATGAAAAAGAGCATGAATTTTACCCATATAATTAGCCATAGAGTCCTGATGTCGAGGAGAAACAACATTGAGAAGATCATGACAAACACTGTAAAAACGTTAAGTATCATTGGTGTATAATAATTTGGCGTGTTCCCCTATTTCAAAACAGGTTTCGTAGGAACGAAAAATTTGTTTTAAAGAGGAGTGAAGGGTACCTTTGAGAACAATGCATAACTGATCATCAAATTTCAACCAACGTGTAACCACAACGAAATTCATAGTTGTCACATTCTGAGTAATGTGATTAAGATACCCCTGACTCTTAAGCTAAATTTAACATC